GCCATGTGACCATGGAAGATTGTCTTCAGACAAAACGCTGGCTCTATGGCTTGGAAACAGGGATGAGCACCGCCCCCTAGAGTTGAACACGACTGGACAAAAATTGTCAAGGAGAACCTTTACCTATCATTTAAATTTGCAACCATAACCCCATTGGCAATGCTTTGCAAAATGGTTTCCCCCCCCCCAACTGGAGCACATTAATTACATAAGACCTATTTTTTATCCCAAAAAAGTAGGGGAGAAAGTGTATGCTGGTGTTTTTCTAGGAGGCAGACCCTGGAAAGCCACCAGCATATACTTTTTTGGGATAAAAAAGTATGTCTTATGTAATTAATGTGTTCCAATTGGAGGGGAACTGTCTTGCGAAACAGGGTTGGGAAAAAAACTGTCTTGCGAGGCAAGGACCTAAACATCGTCCAGCGGAAATTGCCCATAGGAATACAGTGGTGCCTTGCATTACGAGCGCTCCGTTTGACAACGAAATTGCTTTATGTCGATGTTTTTGTGATCGCGAAAGCGATCGCAAAATGATGTTCCCTATGGGGGAATTTCGCTTTGCAATGATTGGTCCCCTGTTTCAGTAACTGATCATTGCAAAGCGATGATTTTCGCAGAGCTGATTGGCGGTTTCAAAATGGCAGCCGGGTAAAAAAATGGCTGCCCGCTGTTTTCTGGCACGGATTCTTTGCTGCACGGGCAGCGAAAATGGCCGCGCTATGAAGGATCTTCGCTGGACGGTGAGTTTGAAGCCGCTAGGAATGCATTAATCGGGTTTTAATGCGTTTCTATGGGCTTTTTAAAATCGCATGACGACGTTTTCGTTTTACAGTGATTTTTGCTGAATGAATTAACGTTGTCATGCGAGGCACCACTGTAATCGTTTTGGGAAGTACAACATTGCTAAAAAAAGTCACCTTCTAGTGAATTCATCATTTTGTGAGGCAATCATCTTGCGAGGCACCACTGTACAGATACTGGAATGGCTTTTGGCTTGTATTTGAAATGATACTGTTCTTCAGAAATGGCTGAAGCAACCATGGTGTACTGGGTTACTGCAAGTTAATGGCACTTGGAAGCTGCTGTTATCTTGCAAAAGACGTGTGTGCTTCAACATATATTGTGCTTATGACTTCTTTTTCTTAAGTTGGGAATTGGAAAGGAAACAGGCTGCTGGGAACATGTCATCTTTGACAACAGTTCCGCGAGTGCAAATAGTTTGTGTGCTGATGTCTTCAGTCTTAAATGTGGGGTCATGTATTCAAACATTATGGCCATTGTTTTTGTGATTTTTATGTGTTGGACTGAGGCTTGACAAGTGGTGGCTGGCAAAACTTCCTAGTCTTAGTCCACTTTTTCAGCTCAAAAAGTTTACCTAAACATCATCCAGTGAAAATTGCCCATAAACAAGGCAGCGATGACACACTTCCAGTCTGCTACCGTGGGAAGCACTTTGAGCTGCTTCTGAAAGGCAAGACAAATGGAAGCACTGCGATTTGTCTGCTGCAAGACTAATACTGACCCCTCCCTGCTTCAAAGTGATCCACCATATATTACACATAGGGTACCAGTTCTGTCCATTATCTTGGGAGAGCATGATCTAAAGGATAAAAAACAATAGTTGGCAGGGGCTGTGAATTAATGAGGAATGAAGCACCCGTTTTTTCCTAGGCACCTAAATCTGAATGACAGGTGTGGAGATGAGTGGCCTTCCATCTTCCATAGTAGTGGCCTCAATCAGCTGTCTATCACTGGAGAACCACTAGGCCAGGAGCACAATTTGTTTGGACAAATAAGCATGTTTAGCAAAACATTTGGGCTAGATTCCTGTTATGAAAGACTGTATGCATAGGGCCAATTACCCAAATGATTTTCACTGTTTTCCAGCTGTCTGTCACATGCTTGGTCATGTAAGTTAAAAGCAGTTCAGCACACAATGGCAAAATGCCTCCCACCACTTACATAATTGCCCCAACCCGGTTACATAACCCAACATCTTCTGGCCTTGATTGTTAGTTAATTTAAGAGGCATAGTCTAAACTGGGAAATACCAGTTCTTTAAATTACTACTTCCAAAATCCTAAACATCATCCAGTGAAAATTGCCCATAAACAAGGCAGCGATGACACACTTCCAGTCTGCTACCGTGGGAAGCACTTTGAGCTGCTTCTGAAAGGCAAGACAAATGGAAGCACTGCGATTTGTCTGCTGCAAGACTAATACTGACCCCTCCCTGCTTCAAAGTGATCCACCATATATTACACATAGGGTACCAGTTCTGTCCATTATCTTGGGAGAGCATGATCTAAAGGATAAAAAACAATAGTTGGCAGGGGCTGTGAATTAATGAGGAATGAAGCACCCGTTTTTTCCTAGGCACCTAAATCTGAATGACAGGTGTGGAGATGAGTGGCCTTCCATCTTCCATAGTAGTGGCCTCAATCAGCTGTCTATCACTGGAGAACCACTAGGCCAGGAGCACAATTTGTTTGGACAAATAAGCATGTTTAGCAAAACATTTGGGCTAGATTCCTGTTATGAAAGACTGTATGCATAGGGCCAATTACCCAAATGATTTTCACTGTTTTCCAGCTGTCTGTCACATGCTTGGTCATGTAAGTTAAAAGCAGTTCAGCACACAATGGCAAAATGCCTCCCACCACTTACATAATTGCCCCAACCCGGTTACATAACCCAACATCTTCTGGCCTTGATTGTTAGTTACGGTAATTTAAGAGGCATAGTCTAAACTTGGAAATATCAGTTCTTTAAATTACTACTTCCAAAATCCCCCAGACAATATGGCCGCTGGCCCTTTTTTCCAAATGTTATGTGGGACTACACAGCTGTTTGCACACCTAACACTAAATGATAGCTTACAGTTCTGAGCACAAAGAATAATGAGCCTGAGGACTATGTGCTCCCTCTTTCTCCCCTGGTGCATCTCTGAGGAAAAATTTGGGGATAACCTCTGATAGTTACAATGTTCAAATAAATTTGAACATCATGTTCAATGTTATCCATGGTTTCTTGGGGAGCGAAAGGCAACTTTCAAATGGCAGATTCAAGAACCATGGTCACCACAAACCGTACTTTAGGATTTTGACATAATGTTAACTGTGGTCAAACCAAAATGGAAGCACAATCCCATCTCCTCTTGGGGTGTTCTGGAAGGAAGAGGTAGGACAGACATGGACAAGCTCAAGGTTCACTGCAGTTTGTCCTCATAACACTGAACAACATGTCAGGAATCTTTACAGCTTGAGAATGGAATTTAAAAGCCACAAACTAGTGGTAAGTGGGGCTAAGGCAATAGTCTCCTTTTTTTCTATCCACCATCTCTCACTTGGGTGTGGCAAGGTGGATCAAGGTGGATCAAGATTGTTCTCTTCCACCTTCAGTACAGTGGGGTCTTGACTTGAGAACTTAATCCGTATTGGAAGGCGGTTCTCAAGTGAAAAAGTCTGTAAGTCAAGTCTCCGTTGACCTACAGTGCATTGAAAACCGATTAATCCCATAACAGGCAGTTTTTGTTCCATTTTGGTTTTTTTCTGGTCTGTAAGTCAAATCTCAGTCTGCAAGTCAAACCTAAATTTTGCGGCCAGAGAAGTCTGTAACTCATTATTCTCTTCCACCTTCAGTACTGTTACACATTCCTATACTTTGTGTTGAGAAAGGAAAAGTTGAAATCCCTTCTCCTGTGACACTTAGCTGGTCTTTAGGAAGTAGCCAGGAAGCTACATTCCTGTACTTTGTGCTGAGAAAGGAAAAGTTGAAATCCCTTCTCCTGTGACACTTAGCTGGTCTTTAGGAAGTAGCCAGGAAGCTGGTAGAATGTGGCTGTAGAGGACATGGGACCATGGAGGGGCCAGAAAGTAAGATGGGGATGCTTGGCAGGCTATTTCCAGCCAGGAGGCTGGAGATCTCCAGTTTACATGGCCTGTATCCTATTTTTATTGCTGCACATACTGGCTTTTTTAGGCACAGTGACTGAAATCCTGTTGTGCAATTCTGCTCATGCAACAGCAGTGATGTCATTATCAATGGCAAATGATAGGTGATTAAAGGCTTCCTTTAATTGTTCCATATGACTTTGTCAAATTGTGCATACTCAAAAAAAAATCATCAGTGATTCACTGCCAATGATGATGTCATTCCAGTTGCATACATGGAGCTATGCAACAGGATTTCAGCCAGTGTGGATTTTTTTAAATACATAGGTAGTGTTTATGATACTCTGCACTGAGAACAGTTTGTAAAAATAGTTTATAAAAAAAATTAAAATTATGTTACAGCAGACAGTCCCTGGGCAGATGTGTAATATTTTTGATTGGAAGATTTTGTATTTTTACTTCCTACATTGCAAAATCTTCAAAAGAAAAAATCATTATATAGGTTGACTGAATCCTTGCTCTTATATGCTGGATTGAAAAATCAAAATAGGTTCTGCCCTGTGATACACATCATGAACCATTTCATGAATGAGGGTCTGGCCATGTAACCCCTTCCTTTCCCCACAGAGATGTTGAACCACATTGTCTAGACAGATGTTTGAAAGATCTATATTATTACATGGTGGCTCTTTTGTTAGTGGAACTAAACTGACCTATCTGTCAAAACTTTACTTTTAAACATCAATAGTCGAAGAAAAGAGAGTTGAGATGAATCTACAGTTTGAAAAATGGAGAAGTGTGCAGTTCCATCCAGTCTTGGTTGAGGCCAGAGGATCTGTAAAGAATTTCTCAACTGTCCTGATTTCATTTACTTTGGGGCCTTTCCAGCAGTCTTTGCCCATATGAAATGCAGAGCAGAGGCTCTAAAGGATGGGTCAGCCAAAAAACGTGGAGCAGATTCTTCTAGCATATTTTAACTTACCAAAACATCCCCCTTCCCACAGTCACACAATGTTTATACAGGGAGGTGGGGAGAAGGGGGCCAGGCACTTGGTGGAGGTGTGATTCCTGTGGTCTAGCCTCTGCTTTGCATTTTTATTTCCAAATGAATGATCTGCTTTTGATAAAAGAATACTCCACACTTCTCATTGGTATTCAGTGAGCACTGTGAATGCTACTGTGCAGTCATTTGTTATGCAAAGTACTCAGTGCAGTGTGATATGTCCATAATTCCCTTCCTTTGATACATCCCAGCTAGTCCTTTGTTAGCTCAGACCGAACTGAAAATTCAAACAAAGCCCAGCTGAAGAATGCTTTTACAAGAACTTTACTTGCTTTTGACTTTTATAATGTTCTGCTCCTTGAAGGACACATGTATGTATGTACCTGCACATATACATACATTTTTGTGCATGCACAGAGATGCACAATTTCAGAATCGCAAGCTGCAAAACAGACTATCTTGTGGAAGAGGAAATCGTTGCTCCAGGATGAACTGCATGCCTTCCCAGATCACTTTTGCCTCTCAGATTTGGATTGTATGATATATAGATGGGTCTATCACAGTGGTTCCCAACCTCTTGGGTAACACAGGTGTTCTTGGACTGCAACTCCAGAAATCCTGGCCAGTACAGCTAGTTATGAAGTCTTCTGGGACTTGCAGCCCAAGAATACCCAGGCTACCCAAGGTTAGGAACCACTGGTCCAGAGACATTGTAAGTCATGGTGCTTGCGTGAACTCCCAGGTTTGTGGTTTGAAAACCTCTGTCTCATGAGAAAAACTCCAGATTGGAGGCAACATTGAGCCAAATGCCCAGTCGAAGCCTTCTTCTTACAATGATGGAACTGCAGCCATGGGTTTACAGTACATTGTGGCAAAAGGTGGCACAGAGCAGCCATTTTCATTCCTCACAGTGTTATGAGGTATGTTTGTCCAATTTTAGTTTTCCACAGTGTTCCAGACTGAGACTAAATTAAGGCAAGCACATTACGTGAATTTAAATGGCATCTCGTAGACCTGGCTATCTGTCATCAGAGGAGCCAGGTTAGTTGTAAATGCTAACAGTGCAACAAGACCATGGCAGCTGCTAGAGCTTGAGGGTGCTGTATGGTAATGCTGAGTCTGGATTAATTGAAAGGGTAGTATCTTGTTTGGAAAAAAAAGTAGCATAACATCTCCACAGGAATAGCATTTTATACAATATCTGACTGGCAGTCTCATCATTGAAAGCAAGCAGATAATGAATGCCTCCTTGGGCAATTGTGAGCAGTTTCTGGTGATTAGGGGGCAGTTATCTGGTTACAGTACTTGGAAGTAAGTGCCATTTGATCTTGTTGGGTTTCCTTTTCTGACACATAGTGCTAGGCTGCAAGGAAACAGAGAAATCAGAAGGCAAAGGAAGACTGAAAAGAAACAAAACACTGTGACATGGGCATAATATGCATTTAATGTCTTTTTTTATATTTTCAGGAATATGTCGAACTTTGAGGTATCCTCCTCTCAGACGATCAGCTCACCACAGCGATCTAAGCGAGTAAAGGAGAACACGCCTCCTCGCTGTGCCATGGTGCATAACAGCCCCGCTTGCAGCACCTCTGTCACATGTGGGTGGGGTGACGGGGCATCCAGTACCACACGGGAGCGGCAGCGGCAGACCATTGTCATTCCTGACACGCCCAGCCCTGCAGTCAGTGTCATCACTATCAGCAGTGACACAGATGAGGAGGAGGAGCAGAAACATGCACCCACCAGGTAAGCTGGTATAGAGGATGTTTCCTGGAAGGTGTGTGTGTCTCCAAGCTCAGCCTATCTGTATGCGTGTATGTGTCTCTGTGTGAGGATGATGCCTTGAAAGTTCTGGTTCATCTGCTAGTTCATCACCAGCTGCATCAAAGCCTCATTCAAGGTTCCAGACAACATGTGAGGTGGGGCCCATGCTAGCCTTACCTCACTCCATCATCATCATCATCCTCACTCTTCTCACATGGGGAGCATCAATTCAAAGAAGAAGGATGGGAAACATTGAAGAATCAGAAACATGCTCCACCCGCAAAGACTGTGTGGAGAGCAATGTTCATTTTCCTATGGATTCCTGGATAGAGCTTTCATTGATCTTGGTTAGTTTTCCAGGAAAAAATATATTTAGCATAATAACGATAGAAAAGAAAGGGAAAGAGAGAGAGAAAGAGTATTCAGAGTCAGCATTCTCTTTCTATGATGAACATGAAACTTTTCCAAGTGTGGAGAATTTGGTACCTAAGCATACTAATGGTGGAGCCAGAGCAATGTTACTAATGCATATTATCTGTGAAGACCAATCTACCTGCTCTGTGAAGTGCTTTGCAAATGTTATTTCACAGACTAAGCGTACTATTGATGTGAAATTTCAGATTTTTAAAATCATTTATATTACACAGGCCCATGTTTTCACATATAAATGCAAAAATGGGTCAAATATATAAGAAACAGTAGATGGAAATAAACAAGTAGAACAGGACTGCTGATGAACTGCGACTCCCATCAACTCTAGCCAGCATAGCCAGTGGTGAAGTCTGATAGGGTTACTGAAGCTGCAGTCCAACAATATCAGGAGAACTATTATTTATTTAATTCTTATTTAAAATATTAATACCCCACCTTTCTTCTAAAAGATCCAGTGGAGTTTACAATGTTAAACGAAACAAAGTTAAAATATTTTAAAAGAATTAAACAAATACCATATTAAAAATTATAAATAAGAGCAATATTAAAAACACGAGTAAAACAACAGAATAAAATAAACCCTTTTAAAAATCCCCTTGGTCAGCCAGTCATTTAAAGGAAAGAGAATGGTCTTCATCTGCTTGCAGAATGACAGTGAAGATGGGGCCAGCTTTGGACCCCTGTGGGAGAGAGTTCGAGTCTGGAAGCTACCTCTTCTAATTTTCTGGAGGTCCTTTACCTGTTTTCACATGGGATCAGGAACAGGCCCTTTGGCTCTAGTTTGCAACAACGACAAGCAGGTCAAGAAACTGATGCTATGCAGATGGAAAAACATTATTTCGGGTTTCGTAATAACGAGGTTGATACGCATACTTTTGTTCTGTCAATATCCTTTCATATAAAGCTACAGGCAAATGACATGCCGAATGGAATAATTTCCCCTTTTGAAATAAAATGTAAATGTACAAATATGGTATTTATTTTAATATTTATAAGTCTTTTGCATTCATCCAAGGAGAGAGCAAAATAAAAACTACAAAGAAAGTAATACAACATTGCATCATACATATATTTTAATGTTAGCATTCAAAAATACAGTACAGCATATCGCCACATATTTAAATATAATTCAGCTCTCTAAAAACCGTTTCAAAGTCACAACAGTATCAGTTCCTGTAAGAATTTCCAAATATATAATTATATTCCCAAATTAGATTTATTTATAGTAAAACTTGTTCAACTTAGTGAGACATTATTTCATATAAAAAGGCTTAGATCAAGCTGTAAAAGAAACTGGAAAATTTCCACATGGAAAATTTTAAAGGATATTAGGTGGGGAAATAACATGTACTTCATTAAAAGTGCATTCTTTAGAAATATTTATCCACAAGTATTGTGTTCACTATAGCTTATTTTGGGGTAGGTAGCTATGATATTGGATGTTCACCAAAGCCATCCATACCATGAGATCTGGTGAGGCATTTGCTTCAGTCGCAACTGTGCAGTTATCTGCTGTTGCCAGTGTTGACCCAGGAGGCCCTGTGCAGTTCTGCTGCAAAGCATTTCTCCAGAGCTGCCTGGATGTCACCTACATCAATAATGTGTGCCTCTTCCTCTCTCCCGCCTACCCTGCTTTATCCTGTGAGAAGGAAGAGTGCAGAGCTATGGCAAATGCTAGAACTGCTTCCTTCTGGGGGTGAGGGGATCAGTGTCCTTTACGGAGGGATCAGTGTCCATGGAAGGGTGGGATAGTCCTGCATATGGTGGGGGTTTGGCATTTTGCTTCCTTACCCAGGGGGTGACAGAGGCTGGACCACCCCGATGCACATTTATTTATGTGGGTATCAACCTGTTGAACCCAGCGGAATAAGCCCTTGAGTAAGCATGTGTAGAGTTGGGATGAAAGAGGTTGATTGTATTTCAAGTCACCATTTTATGCATGAATTTTGTGTAACAGTTTTAAAACCAATAGACACATTAAAATATTCTCAATTCTAATGAATTGTGAAACAGCAGGGGACTCTGACTTCCACGTAATGAGAAACCCAGGGGACTTCAAGTTTAATGTAATGAAAGACTGCCCCCTAATGGAAATTATTCTTAAAAGTATAAAATAGACAAATAATGTTTCTTTATCATGCACTTTATATTGGGTGGATTTTACTTAGTACACAGATATTAAATTATTGATCAAATAAATAAATAAATAAATATCCAAATGCATAGCCTTTACCAGATCTGTTAAATATTTTCTTTCTTTACTGTTGCCAGTGAGGGCAAAATCTTCTCCAGATATTCTGTGATTATTTTTAATTTGACTCACAATTTTGCTTAGTTTTAATCAGCTGTGTGTGCCTCCAAATTGGATTGGACCAATTTACTGAAAGGTCTAGTAAATACTGTTTCTCTGATCTCATGGCATTTCTTATTAGCTGAGAGAAAATATTACTGTCTATGGGACAGTGGAGTACTTCTTCACACATACCGTATTTTTCTGTTTATAAGACAACCCAATGTATAAGACAACCCCCCCCCTTTTCTAACCCCCAAATTAGAAAATTTGAATATTTGCATGCTCGCACCCTTTTGATCCTGCCACCCTTTCACGGCTGCGTTACCCATTTCCTAAGTCCCGCAGGGCTTAAGAAATGGGTAAAGCAGCCCTAAAAGGGTGGCATACTCTGACCCCTTTGATCCTGAAGCTCTTTCACGGCTGCTTTACCCTGTGACTTCGGAAAAGGCAGGGAAAGCGGTTGCCTTCCATGTATAAAATGACCCTCAATTTTTTGTCTAATTATTTAAGTAAAAAAGTGTCATTTTATACACGGAAAAATATGGTAATCGAAGTAAACTTTCCTTCCATAGAGGCAAAACAGTGAACACTGGACACCACCTTGGACAGCTTTAGAAGATGGTTAGATGAATTCATGGTGGATAAAGCTTGGTAATGTCTTTTTGTGTCCCTCAGCAACTGGACCTGAAAGGCACACTGTCTCAGATACTGAAGGTAATACATGGCCATGATAGTAATATATTACCTCCTCTATCAGAGGCAGTATACCTTTGAATCTCAGTTGCACAGAAAAGTGTCATATCTTTTTCACATGGTACCTTGGAATGGCAAAAAAGGCAGATATCAGGATATGTACATCTGTGTTTCTAGACCTTTGTTCATTTATTTATTAAATTTTTACCCCACTGACTAGAACTAACCAGGACTGCCAAAGTAACTTTCAGAATCCTCAGATTTACAAGGCAAGCCTCTTAGGATGCCTTTACATTTAATTAAGAATTTAAAACAATAAACTCAGTATGTGATATAACAGCATCTGAGACCCTGCTTTCTTACAATCCAAATGCTTTTTTAAATAAAACAGCCCCCACAGTTTTTCTGAACTTCAGAGAAAATGTTGTAAGGCACACTACAATTTCAAGTGGTTGGTATTCTGAGGGGAGTTTTTTGACAGTGTATTTCTGATGGCTTCTCGTCTTGTTTGTAAGGTTGCAACCACAAACGTTTCCCGTGTCTTAACATTTGAGAGGGATTAGAATGATGTCTTCATCTCTGATGAACCACTAGGTTCAACATAGTTCCCTGGTTGCATACAGTGGCCCACCAAGAAGTTGGTGATGCTCCTGTTTTTATTTGCCTGCTTGAGATTGTCCCAGTGGGAAAATACTGCCAGAGAACAAGATAGGCAGACTGCATTTGCCTTGATCAGAAGTGAAAAAAATTGGCCATGCCAGCCAGGGAAGTCTAGGAGCAATAAATCCAAAAAATAACATTTCCAAGTTCTGCAAATATTTGATGAGCCATTTTTGAACTAAAAGCCACAATAACAAACATATCTTTTACAAACAAGGTAGCTGGGCATTTCTGCTCTCTAGAATCATAAACAATTTTTCCAAACTTTAAGGTTGTGCTTCACAAGATGCACAAGCTTGATGATGTATAAAGAACATGCCAAGCATCTACCAACCTCATTTCAAGAGCACAAAGAGACACGTAAGCAGACACATAATATATAAATAGCAAGGGTTAGTTATATATTACATAGAAAATAGATGCCCTTTGACCACCCAGAAGAGCTCCATTGGACAACTCTGTGCAGGATTGTGATCAACTACACCTGTCAATAATTTTTTTCATATCTCTTCCAATGCGGAATAGTATTCTGACACAATGTACAGAAAAAGGGAAAAGTAATTCAGAACAAAATGAATATTCAGAGCAAACATTAAAATGCCTAACATTCCATAAATCACTTCACTTATTCGAGAAAATCACTTATTCGATTTTTACCCCGCCCCTCTAGACAACGTCTACTCGGGGCGGCTTACATAAATTAAAACACAATTAAAATAGCATAAAATACAATTATACAATCATCAGTTAAAATGTTTTAAATTGCCTGGTTGAATTAATTTGATTTAGGACTTCTTAAGCTGCCATTTGGGTTACAGAAAGGATACGTGTCAGATACAGAGAAGCTAGCCAGAAGAAGTCATTTTTGTTGGCTGTATTGGATCATTGTGGTTGCTTTACCTGTGGACTTTACTTGAAGACCCTGAATTCCTTTCAGCTCTACAACTCTGTAATTTTGTGATAGCAGTGGGTCATCTAGATCAGTGGTCCCAAACCTTTTCGGAACCGCGGACCAGTTGGGGGGTGGGGGCACCCCTGCGCTTGCGGGTGGGCATGGCATGCTTGCAGGTGGACGTGGCACGGACACATGCGTGGATGGGCGTGGCATGCTCATGGGTGAGCACACCATGCCAGCCCATGAACGTGCCTGCTCAGCCGCGCACACAAGGGAATGTGCGTGCAAGCATGCCACACCCGCCATGTGTGAGAGTGGCGGGGGGAGATCTGTCTCTGTGGCCCTGTCCTGCGAAGCCCACAGACTGGCACCGGGCCACGGACCAGGGGTTGGGGACCCCTGCTCTAGATAGTGCTTCATGTACATTAAGCAGACTGTGCTTTAGCTCTGTCACTGAAAAAATAGCCTGAGTGTATATTTAAACCATAGTGCCATGTATGAAACCTGACATGGGAAGGGATTGGTTTTGTTTTGCAGCCCCCTTTCTAAGCAAAGAAAAAACGTCATCAGCTGTGTAACTGTGCATGATTCCCCTTACTCTGATTCTTCTGGCAACACCAGTCCCTATGCAGTGCAGCATCGTGGTGGAAACAATAATGGAAATGGCTATGATACAAAGGGAGCACCGGAAACACATTGCAATGGCAATCCTCGGACGATCATTGTGCCACCACTGAAAACCCAGGCCAGCGAGGTGTTAGTAGAATGTGATAGCCTGGTACCTGGTAAGTTTGGTACGTCCCTGGGAATACTAAGGAATTTTAAGAGTCCACTAAAGACTTCATTTCTCCCATAGTTAATCTTGTTCCTTGTCCCAGCCCCTTTCTCTGACACTTTTAGCAGGCCTGTTGCAGTTTGTGCATGTGATCCAGAAACATTTTCTGCATGTTATGCAGAAATATGAACCAATGCAATCTGCGGGGCTTATTTGGATGTCTCTCAATAGTTTCCTTACATTCTGTTAGGCGTGTCCTTAGGTATGCTACCATTTGCAAAGAGTCAGCTATTCTGGAAGGCTAGCTAGGCACCAAGTTTTTTTGCAGCAGTAATGTTATTTAGTAATTGTACAACCCCCTTTTCAAAGTTCCTTACTACATTATTAAAATATGGTATATGAAACACAAAGCACATGCTGAAAATAGTTAGTAAATCTGAGTAGCACATGTGGTTAAGTATGTCATGTTCCTTCCCATTAGGCAGTTGGGATATAGTTGAAGTGTAGATAATCTACCTAGAGTAGGCTTCAGTATTATTTTTGCCTGCTCTTGTACTCCCTCGCCCCTTCTCTCTTCCTACAGAGCAGATGATATCATCTGGCTCTAGAGGTAGTCTAAATGGAGCAGAGCCTGACATTGTCTTTCTGTTTAAGAAAGGAAGCTTTCTCTGCAAGGGGAACAAGCAGGAAGTCTGTCAGAATCCCACATCCCTATGCATTCTATAAGCAAGTTTCCTCAGAATCAGGAGAGAGAGAAAACATTTGCCCACAGGTCACTTCATCACCATGAGTTTAAAGCAGGTATCACTGAAACCAAGGGGACGGAGTGGGGAACTTGGGAAAGAGTTGTGTGGTGTTGGGGTCCCAGTCTATGAATGGCCTTAAATATAGATATAAATAAATATAAAGCCTGAAAGCTTCTGATAACTGATAGACCTGGATAACCTAGTCAGTCTCTGTCTTTTCATCCATTAGTCACCACCACCAATCATCACTCTTCCTCCTACAAGTCAAAGTCCTCCAGCATCATGACTTCCACCAGCGGTCACTCTTCAGGGAGCTCATCTGGAGCCATCGCCTACAGGCAGCAGCGGCCAGGGCCACATTTCCAGCAGCAGCAGCCTCTCAATCTCAGCCAGGTATGCAAAATGGCACAACAGGGGCCAGATAAACCTACCAGGACTTCAGTAGCTACCAAAGAAGTTGCATAATCTGCATCCCTACAGAAAACAGTTTGCTTCCACTGAGACCTTCTTCCTCAGAATTAGTCATGCAAGCCTAGCCTTAGTGCAAAACATAGTTCATTACCAGAGAGCTAAGAAGCAGAAATAGGAAGAAAAGCTAAACTGGCAAGCCTTATGCTTGAGAAAGGGCAGAGATGAGAAAGCTTCCTTTCCAAACAGGACGTTTGGCTGGAACTAGACCACAAAACTTTAAGCTTAGGTCTTTCTCCCAGGTGAGCCACATTTAGCTGTCTGTAAGTATCTGCCAGGAGAAAATATCAGCATGGGGACTTATGGAATTTGTAATTTGGAAATTCCGAGTGGCACATCCATGGTGGCAGTGAGCACTTCATGTCAGAAGCCTCAAGGTGCAGTGGTTAAACGGTAGTACTACAGCCAAAACTCTGCTCACAACCTGGGTTCAATCCTGGTAGCTGGCTTGAGGTTCACTCAGCCTTCCATCCATCCAAGATTGGTAAATTGAGTAACCATCTCACAGGTGGATGGGGCAATATGTAGTGTGCATAATTCAGTTGTAAACAGCCCAAAGAGTGCTTGAAGTGCTATGGGGCAATATATAAGCAGTATGCTTTGCTTTGCTTTGTCAGCTGTTTTGGACTACAGTGGTGCCCCGCATAGCGACGATTAATCCGTTCCGGATTAATCGTCGCTATCTGGAAACATCGCTAAACGGAACTAAGAACCCCATAGGAACGCATTAAACTTCGTTTAATGCGTTCCTGTGGGGCGAAAACTCACCGTTCAGCGAAGATCCTCCATAGTGCTGCCATTTTCGCTGCCTCGGTAAGCGAGGAAACCGCGCAAAAATGCTTGCGGCGGCCATTTTGGGCACCCGGCGGCCATTTTGGAACCGCCAATCAGCTGTTCTAAAAACATCACAATGTGAAGATTGGTAAGTGAAATGCTTACCGATCATCGCAATGCGATGTTTTCCCATTCAAAACATCGCAATGCGATCGCATTAGCGATCGCGAAAAATAGATCACTATGTGGATTCATAGTTAAACGGTGCGCTCATTATGCGAGGCACCACTGTACTCACTGCAGCCTTTTCCACTTAGTAAGACACTTGGCTTTTGTCAGGGAAGCAAGAAAGTGGGGGAGGGGTTGTCAGGATCCAAAGCAGACTTGCATCAAATGTTCAGGTGCTTGGAGGTCGTGGCTTGTGTGACAGGGTAGGGATAGGAAGAAGCAGATAGGCTACAAATCTAAAGTGGGCAAGTTAGTTCAGTTGTCCAAATAAGAAATGTCCATCAGGACCCAAAAATAGCTTTAATACTGAAATAATTCAGGTGAGAGAAGTCCTCAGTAAAACAGTGGTAGGTGAAGACTACAGCTATACCATGGTGCACTTAGCTGGAAAGTTCAAGATTTATATGGCTCAAGAGTCAAACTGATTTCTGAATAGTAGGTAGATGTTCTGAAAATCATGTTTATAAACAGTATGAGCATTTGCAGATAATATTCGGCCAGCACAGAAAGGATTGCACACCCTTTGCCCTTCAGTGTCACTGCTCCTGCATTCACATTAACTGATAGGTGCATATTTACTAAGGAAAACTGGTTCCTGGTTCCACTCTTTGGAAACGGAACGGAAATGGAATGGAAAGACGTTGTGATTTTAAAATTAGGGACAAACTACATGACAGAAGCCCATGGTAAGAACTGAAATATCAGTACTGTAAATTGTTCCATTCTAAGATGCAATTTGTACAGTCTTTCATGCCTGAGAAATAAGAATTGTAAACAAAGCCTAGTTATAAGCTCCTGAAGTTCTTTCTAAACTTGAGGAATTCCCTTTTCTAATAATGTATTATCTGTAAAGGTCTTTAGAGCATACGATCCACATGGGCTTGAGAACTGATGGAGTGGCACAGAGTGGGATGAAACCTTGCCATTGTTTTATTGGTGTTCCCCCTTCTGCAGGCCCAGCAGCACATCACAACTGATCGCACAGGGAGTCACCGGCGACAGCAAGCCTACATCACTCCGACAATTGCTCAGGCACCATATTCCTTCCCACATAACAGCCCCAGCCATGGCACAGTCCATCCGCACCTGGCTGCCGCTGCCGCTGCTCACCTTCCCACCCAACCTCATCTCTACACATACACTGCGCCTGCTGCTCTGGGCTCTACAGGCACTGTAGCCCATTTGGTGGCTTCCCAGGGTTCAGCTCGTCATGCTGTACAGCACACTACGTACCCAGCTAGCATTGTCCACCAGGTTCCAGTGAGCATGGGTCCTCGTGTCCTTCCATCACCTACGATCCACCCGAGTCAGTATCAGGCTCAGTTTGCCCACCAGACCTATATCAGTGCGTCTCCAGCCTCTGTCTACACTGGATATCCCCTGAGCCCCACCAAGGTCAACCAGTACCCTTACATCTAAACACTGGAATGAGGAAGGAAAAGACACGGCACGCACCAAGGGCAACAAGGCTGCTTTTGTGAAAAGGAATGTTGCAGGCAAACGAACAATGCAATGGGAGTCTCAAACAAAACTTGAATGAAGGAGACTTTGTGGAAGGCATGAGAGGGAAGAAGAGAGGAGGTGACACCAGTCCTACAGTTTTTATTTAAAAAAAAGAAGGAAAATGAAAAAAGATAAAAAGAAAGAAAAACAAAACTACAAAAACATTCTGCGCCAGACCACATAGTGGGAGAAGCAGAAGGACCATCATTGTCTGGTCCTGTTTTTGGATAAATTCACCCATAGACTTTTACAGATTATTTTCATCTGATTCCAGGAGACAACATTTAGGAATTTGCTGTTCGAACCTCCTAATACAAAGTTTCATAGGTGTTTGGGTATATATTTTTTAATTAAACCAAGAAGCGTACCAATTAGGGATTTATCCAGATTTTCTGAAAGGGTTATTGCTTTGTCTTTGCACTGGTCGCTGTAACCCAAAATAAAAAAAGACAATGAAAGGTGTGATGTGTTTTCTGTCGGGAAGAGAAAGAGAGGAGCAAACAGAGAGAGGTTTTGGATTACTCCAGCTCTCTCAGGCTTAGTAGCACTAGTAGGTTGGAAAAACACGCACTAAGCAGAGAACACTTATGTGGTGAAATCCAGGTCAATGGGGACATTTGTTCTTACTTTGAACACCCTGGATAAATCCCTGAAAGCATTGTTCTTAAAAGAAAAATCTTTAATAATGTACAATAGAATCTAATCTTCCTTACTTGGAAATACTTTACTTTTTCTTTGGATACCCCCTTGCCATTTGCAGCTCAATCCTAACATTTCCTGTTCCAGCAAATCAGTGTATACTGTGGGCTCTGCTATTAGTAAACCCATCACTGCATCCCCAAAGCATGACATCATGCAAACATTGCAGTGATGTTGCACAAATGTTGTGAGTAGGCACGCAATCCCAAATGTCTAGGATTGGGCTGTCAGTATAGGAGTAGATGTTCTAGCTGGTCCTTGATAGAATGTAGCACTATCCCATACATGCACCCTTTTTTTCTACTTTGTGTTATACTCCAATGATACCAATAGACGTTTCCTCAATGTGATTGCACAAAAAAGTGATATAACATAGGCATGTAACAAATGTGATTGTCCAGGTATATATGTATGTGTGTGTATGAGTGTGTGCGCAGATGCGCGCTGATGCTGCCTTCTCTTGTGGTGTGGTCCTCAGCACAGCCATTACAAACTGTCACAGTCTTAGTTTTACGTCATTCCCTTGTAGTGCCTTACCAAACTACAGTTGCGGTTTTAAGGGTTTACTTCCACTGGTACTCCTAGAAACTGACTGAGGCTGGTTGGAATTTGATCTCAGCTCTTTTTCTTCTTTTGAGTGTTCTTTGTGGTTGCTTTCCTTCTTCCAGACCTTTTTTTTTAAAAAAAAAATATATGTATATATAATATATGTGTAACATTGTCTTTATTGATTAAGTTGCAAGAGCTGTTGAGGAAGGGCCTGTGAAAATTTGGCTAGAATGTAAAAATGAGTGGGCCTAGGAAAGTTTTATGGGAATTGGAACAACTGGACTGTTCTTAGGCCCTATGAGGAGTTTTCTAAATAATTCCATTTTGTTAATTGGGCAGATTGATGGAATGTCCTATCAGGAGGCTCAATTTCTCCCATAATTCTTTATAGTTTATTATTCTTGCTGAAGGATATACAGAACAAGGGGGTCCCAGGCTGGCTTTGAATCAGAATACGTAGTACCTCATGTTAAATTGCTGTGTCTGAACCGGGGTGTGTGGGGGAGATGATTACCTGAGAAGGACTCAGTATATTTTTTTCACTTGAATGCTTTCAGTGGTTCAAAATATGCTAATGAGAGAAATTCATTCTTGAGTATCAGACTCAGGTTTGCTTCAGAAGTGTTTTTCCTCCTTAGAGAAAATTGCACCAACACCTGCACAGGTTGGGCAACTGTATGAACTAACTGTGATTAGACTGCATTACTTTTGCAAGAAGGTCAAGTCCGGTTCCCAAAAAGGAGGAGTTTGACCACTGCAGCATGGCATGTTACAATTCTCCAGTCTGTCTGAAATTTGTAGTTCTGACTTAGACTTATTGTGATTATAGCCATCATGGTTTAGACAGTGCTTTATTCCCTTCTGATCACCTCATTTTTACTGTGTGTGTGTTTTTAAATCCTAATGTTCAGATTTGCTGGTTGGTGTCTGTGTATCATCACTTCCGAAATAGGTTTCCAAAGACGAGCTTGTGTATAATGAAAAACAAATGAACAAACAAACAGTTTGGAGGGAAATCTGATCAATGTATCAATGTACGTAGATATGTCTGTTACGTCACTGCTTTGAGCGCGCCCCCACCCCCGGAGATGTACTTGCACTGGTGGCCTGAGGTCTACAAAAGACAGGTTGTATGTGTGCGTAGCCACTCAGTACCACTATAGCTGTAATTGTGACTTAAGAAGAGGAGTGTTCAGACAATATGGCAAGATGTTGGGATATGGCAGGTCAGTTAGCTGAGAGAAGAGGGAGGGATCCCAGGGATGGTTAAGGCAGAAAGGTTTCTTAGGATGTAGGTTGGCAAAGAAGACAAGCACATACTTCACCTGGAGGAAGGAAGGGCTCTAACTAGGAATACTTCATTGGACACAGTTTTCTTTGCAAACCCTTAAATCGACTCTCTCTGTTGTTTTCAAATGGAGCATCAATTTTATTTTTCTTCTTTTAATGATTCATCCACCAACCTGATTGTTCATTGGTTCATGCACCTTACCTCTTTCTAGTATAAAGGAAAACCCTTTATGTTTGCTACCCATGAATGAAGTCTCCTACTTTCTCCAAGTAATATACTGCATTCCTCCCCATCCTATCTCATCTAGAATGGATGCTTTGTGCTGCTTGTGTCGTTGAGAGGAAGGATATTTTATTGTTGTTTTCATATTATTATTAATTTTAATATTATATTTTACTTTGTGTTTTAATTGCACATGCATTCCTGCATCTTTATATTATTATTATTATTATTATTATTATTATTATCGTTATTATTCTCTTAACAGATTTTTGTTGTTAATTAAGTTTTTTTTCCTGTGTTAGTAATACTAGAATGCTTGTCATACATATAAATTTTGCAGGGAAATGGAGACATAGGGATAAACAGATTTGAGCATATGGATGAAATCAAGGTATAGGTTTAATTCAGATGTAGCAGACCTAGTAGGAAACCATGGCTTCCCTCTGTGTATTATTCTCTTAACAGATTTTTGTTGTTAATTAAGTTTTTTTTCCTGTGTTAGTAATACTAGAATGCTTGTCATACATATAAATTTTGCAGGGAAATGGAGACATAGGGATAAACAGATTTGAGCATATGGATGAAATCAAGGTATAGGTTTAATTCAGATGTAGCAGACCTAGTAGGAAACCATGGCTTCCCTCTGTGTGAACCAGCTATGATAAGCAACGTTCCCTCTGATTTTCAGCCCTGCTGGGCGGGGCTCTACCCCTTTTTTGTGCGACTCCCACCCCAGTGGGGTTCTGTCGCAAATGGAATCAAAGGGGCTGAAAACAATAGCTGTTGGTGCACAGAGGAGGAGGAAGGCTGTGTAGAGGGGGATAGAGTTGTGCGTACTCGCTCAAGTGTACACCTTAGAAGGAACTTTGATGAAAGACTTTGGACTCACATGACTTCTCCATATATGTAAGGAGGATATCAGAAGCATTCTCTTCAGGTGTTATCACTTACTGCATTTCCACATGGCATTCAAGCTCAGGGAACAGTGATTTGGTAAAACTGTGGTTAGTGAGCACAAGCCAGATTCAGACTTCTGTTTGAGAACCTGGTTTGTTCTCACAACCCTGTGAACAAACCACAGTATCCCAAATTAAAGTAATGGTGGTTAGTTTAGGAGCAGAAAGAGATAGATCCAGTAATTTTCTTTGATGATGAAAGAAGACCAGAGAGGAAGAAGGGTGGGAAGCAGTTTGTTCATATAGCAATTTTTTTTAAAAAAATCACAGTTTTCCATTAGGTCTGAACTGTATCATATTATTATACAATGACACACATTCACAGCTTGTGGATATCTTCACACATAATCTTCATATTCTCAGAATGGTATTCTTTTGAGGCACAAGCCAAACACCTGCTAGTTTCATAACTGCATTCGAGAAAGATACTGGGCTCATGGAGACACTTTGAGCTTTGGCTAGGCAAACTGATGTCTGATTAATAGCTCTGAATCAGAATACTTTCCATATATCACAGGATTGAAAGTGCCATGGCCCTTTAATGAACTCAATGTGTAAGCATTTTAGTTTAGTTTTCCACTTTGAAGACCCTGTGACATGTAGGGGGGAAGGGATATCTGCCAACCAAGAGCATGACATTTCTGAAGCCAGATAAAGCAAATCCATGGTACTAGATGCATTTGTTAGTTAAAACTAGGTAACTCCAAATAAGACATTGCCTGTTTTTAATGTTAATGTTGTTCAAAATGAAAACTTTAAATTACTTTCGCAGGATAGTTTGCTTTCCCTCCTTTCCAAAATATCTAATATTATGACTTCAAAATAATGCTTTCAAGCACTTGTGATGGTTGCTTTTGCAAGTTGTGCAAAATGATATTTTTGTTCTTGATTGAAAAGACTACCCTATTGTCTGTTCAGTTACAGAACTGTGAGTGTTGCTTCTTTTCTGCAGGATGTTGTAGAGCATCTTCTTGAAGTGCATCATTTTGACATGTTTGCTGAATGAATATTTATTGCTTTATCAAGAATCAACATAATTGGTTGATCTGTGGCAGGAATAGAATGAAGATCTGGTTTTAATTACACTTGCTGAAATGTTTTATATATTTCACATGCTTATGTGTGCAAACATACTTCTTTTTCAGCATGGAATGATTCAAAAAATGGAGATTTAAGGGCTTTGATGCAAAGATAAAAGAAATGCAGAGGAGGTACAAACCGCCCCTCACTCCCAAATTGGAAAAAAATGTATTCTGTCAGTCCCTGCTTCATAGAATGGTGGATTAATCTAGAGGTGAAATGAAAGTGAGGAGGCAGCTAAATAAAGCATCCCGAGAAGAAATTTACATGTGCTGAACTAATGAAGAATTGTCAGTTTCTTTTGGAGAAGGAGATGTAAATACGTGGTTTATTCCTTTTTTTGAAAAAATGAACGTGGTAAAGTAGTGCAGTGCTTTTCATCATAGAAAAGTGGAGAGCATTTTGATTACAGGGACAAACCAGACACATTGGACTACACATCCCATTATCTACACACCATTGCTGCCACTGCTAGCTGGAAGTGATGGAAGTTGTAATCCAATAGATCTGGAAGGTATCAGGTAGGAGCAGCTGTGGGGGGGGCAAACAAACATTTCTTGGAGACAATTGGAATTGTAGGGGAAATGACACATTACTTTTGATGTCATTTTTCGAGTTCTCTGTAAATTTATGGAGAGAGCAGCTTAAATCTGTGAGAGAG